GTTGTTCGCGCTTGTCTTTTGTATACTTGTGCAATCGTGTCGTGCGTCTTTCTGCCTGTTTGAACAGTTCAACAGGCGCTTCAAGTGTCGAGCTGTGACAGCTGAATGTCCGTGCTCATCCTGTGTATGCTAATTTCGTGCGTGCTTTCTGATTGAGTTGTGCGCTTCAAGTTTTGAGCTGCTTGTAGTTCTTCGCGTGGCTTCGTAATTAACGCTTAACTACCTTTGTGAAGACAAGCTTCGCTTTCGTGTTATACCGATTCCAATTCGGGAGATTATTAACGTTTTTTTTGTGCACCATTCGTGTAAACGCCGACGGTCAGTTTTCGCTTTTGCTGAAGCATTCAAGTTAAGGCTGATTTAGACAATGTAGCACTTCACCATAAAATTTCTCGCCTATCATTTATTCATAAGCTCTATCATCATCCCTCACTTGGGATGATCTTTTTTTTTTTCCCAGTCACTACCTGTTATTTGTCCTCGTTATGACCGCCCGTAAAAAGTGAAACGCATAATGTGTATATCTTCACATTATTCATTTTCCTTCTTACCACACCTGATCGCATGGTTTTACCATCACACACGGCCACTGAATCCTATCTAACCAAGTTCCAAGAAAAACTAACCGCCTAATCTTACTGTTATGCCTATTTTAAAGACTGGTGTGATTTAATGGTGATCCTCTATTTTTGCGATTGCATGTGCACCAATTGTTGTGTCTAATATTTTTTATAAAGTTTTTCTTCGTAAGGGTATCATTCTGCGAAGCAGTGCAGTACCCACTGCGTGTCGGCAAGGTGTTATGAGCACCTACGTGACTACACTGCGTGTTAATCGTGTGGCTGACGATTGAGATGAATCATGGCTTAGCAATTTGTTATTAGTGGTAATATTTATTGATATTAATAACAATATTAATAATAATATACTATTAAAGTTTTAAGTCCCAAAACAACGATATGATTAAGAGAGACGCCGTAGTTGAGGGCTCCGGAAATTATTACCATATAGTGTTCTTTAACGCCTTTGTCAAAGACATGGGTCTCTGTCCTCATTTCGCCTCAATCCCAATGCGACCGCCGTGGCCGGGATCTAAGCTGCCATCTTCGGGTCAGCAGCGCAGCGCTACACTACCACGGTGGACGGGGGGAAGCTTTCACCTACCCAGCCGTTACGCAATCGACATAGTATAATACCTGGTGCGATTCAACGTTTCTTCTACGTAATAACTGCACAGCTTCCACCATGACTTTTTACCCGGCATGGCCCCTTCATAAGGTATTATTTTTAAGTAGTTTTAAGCACTTGGCATGTATCTGCAGTACTTCACTGCGACAAAGAGCTCGATTGTGGCTGTAACCGAGGATACAGCGCCAAGAAAGACACCGGTGGCCCGGCAACAAAACGTTGAAACAGTTCTTAAGCCCATCGACACTAAATATTTTTTTTTCCATCTCAAGAAATAGAGATACTTAGGGCGACAAAAACGACTGGATCAGGCGGGGCGTGTTTGCTACTGACAAGTTATTATTCATCATAATATGACGCAAAACGTAATGTTAGTCGCTTTTTGGTATATATAACAGTTGTTATAATGTCAATTTTCTTAGTTTTTTTTACGCAGCATAAGTAGAGAGAGAACAAAAAGGAGATATTCGCAGGGAGGTCAACCGGAATTGCAGCATGTGGTTCACTACGCTGCACAAAGGGGAAAAGGCAAAGAAATATGAGAAGGAAAGCGAAGATAAAAAAAAAGAAGTGCGGGTGTGTTATTGCCTATTCAGTAGGCCATAACTCTTATTTTATTTGTTAATGTTACGTTAATTTGATATTACCAGCAATATTGTTAAGGTAACACATATAACATTATTGAAACTAGGTTTACAGAATCGGCCTATGCTGAAGTAACATCGTCTATCTAGACAACTTTCACACGTTGTGCGCTTCGACGGTAGGCGTATAAATGAACTTGCGTGTGCGGGGTAGGGGCCTACGTGCATGTTGCGTGCGTAAATCCGTGCGCTGCGCTTCGATCGCTTCCCTTCTATCATCTCGTAGCACGGTGACGTGAATTACGACAGCTGGCCCTTGAGCCATCACGTAGTACTTTTAGCGCTCGTGCTTCGGCGATGATGTCGCAGAAAACGCCTCGAATGAACGCGTTCATTATGTGCTTCGTTGTAAACAGCGCATCGACCTTGGGTCGAAGATCTCATGCACCGCCGACTACAATATCGCCTTTCCTCGTAGGTCTCACTCCTGTTTCTGCGCGCTGGCCTTGCTCATCAGTCGTTTTGTGTCCCGCGCGTCCGTCACGCTCTGCTCTCGCTGCTTGACGACAAGGGCATTCGTGGAGATGGCCGATATCAAATGAACCATCTGCGGCTTACCCCCTGCATGAGCAGCCTGTCCGAGCGGAAGACTCTTTACCAATGTGTGCTGCTAAATAAGGGTATTAAGTGCCTTGTAATTGATGCGGAAAGTCGAAAAATCAAGATCAAGTATCTTTGGCTTCCCTCTGACCTTCAGTAGAGGAGGACTGTGAAATCATTGTCCCCATATCGGTAAGAGGCTACCTGAAATCGTGACGGCGATGTAAGGTGGTAAACAGTCGATAAAAAATGGTATTCACGCTGAATGAATGTTTTTGTGTTAATTATGCTGCTTAGCTTACGACCATATATGGGGATGCTAATTTTTCATCTTTGTTTCATATCAGCCACTCCTTCCTTATAGCTGAAATAGAGCCTGGTAGTTCAAGAAAACAATGCAAGGTGCACAATGCACGACGTGGTACTGGTTGAAGCAACAACAGGATACGTGAGGTAGGGTATACACCAATAGAGAACATATGAAAATGAACCTTTGGTAGATGGCGCTACCACTGACAACCTTAGAAACGTCAGCGAGATCGTGAAAAGCTCTGCCGAGAAGCCTGATTTTGTCGTACGGTTATGATGTTGACGATGACCGCAGTTGAATTTTTCAGGACTGGATTTTTTTATTTGGAACGACCTGTACCCGGTACACGCTGTAGACAGATGTAGGCGGACTGAGCGTCAGTCGTAGATAAAACTGATATGCGGGGAGGCGCTTCGGCATGTGCTATGGAACATTCGAGCCTTATCAGTGGTGCTCGTGTGAGTTCTCCAATGAACTTCACTACTCATTTCTGCGTGTGATCTTAGCAGAATGAACCCAAACAATAGAGACGCTTTCCAAGCATTGAAGCATGTTCTAAGCGGAGCATTGACAGCAGTTGTTGCGGATTAATAATAATAATAATAATAATAATAATAATAATAATAATAATAATAATAATAATAATAATAATAATAATAATAATATAATAATAATAATAATAATAATAATAATAATAATAATAATAATAATAATAATAATGCTATTGTTATTATTATTATTATTATTATTATTATTATTATTATTATTATTATTATTATTATTATTATTATTATTATTATTGTTGTTGTTGTTGTTGTTGTTGTTGTTGTTGTTGTTGTTGTTGTTGTTGTTGTTGTTGTTGTTGTTGTTGTTAACTACTATATGATTATGAGAGACTCCATAGTGAAGGGCTCCAGAAATTCTGACTATCTAGGATGTTTAACATGCACCTGAATCTTGTACCCCAGACTTAGGCATTTTCGCCTCCATCGAAAATGCGTCCACCGTGATTATGGATCAAATACGAATACATGAAATGACACAATAAATGAACATGTCAATATTTGGTCAAGCAGCATAAGCGAATAAGTACGGTGTGAGCTGTCAACTCGTCTGATGAATAGTCGCATGAGGAACATATTGCTGTGAGTTCGGTGACCTCTTTCGAAGCACCTCCAATCTGTGATTGCCTTAAAGGAATTATATATGCGCTGTTTTCGACTGTGACATCTAATCAATAACCATTGGCAGTTGACACGAGGTCCACTGGAGAGAAGTCCAGAATATTGAAAGTAGTAAACGTAAAAAAGTATGTTCAAAGGGTTCTGCAGTCTAGCGCATGCAGCTGTTAAAAAGCAGAGGTGATATGAAACAAATCTTAGCGCAGCCGCTGGGTCCACCTTTCTATTGTCAAGGTGATTCTCTGGAATTGAAGAAGTGGGTGACATTACATGCAGATAAGCAGTGATTCACTGTGTGGAGCCTGGATGCACTGAAAAATGCGAAAGCTTCACATGAATCGAAAAAGGGTCATATGCGAGTCGGTACAACCTTGGTATCTATCTCGAAGGAATCCACAGCATCGAAACTCAAACACCAGGGAAGCGAAACGTCGTACAAATGTTTAGAGGTTTTCCTAAGTCTCCGTGAAATATATTTGTCTGCTCGCAGATGTAATATCACCTCGTGGTCCGTTACACATATTTTAGTGAAGTATAGTAATTGTGAGATAAAGAGAAACATAACAGAAAACAGCTCGTGGAAGCTGGACCAATAAGCCTTGCATTACGCCTGCAGCCCCGTAATATACGAGAATTATGGTGTCGGTTTAGTTTTTTAGTGAAAGATACCTCAGATAATTTTTTTTCTTCATAGACGACATGGACAGTAGAGTGCACGTACGCAGAACAACCCAAAAGAATGCGCCCCCCCCCTCCCTCCTGACATAATCTGAAAATCACTCTGCTATTTTCATTGTTCAAATGGTGTATAGGAGAGGTTGGTGCCTCTTTAGCCTCTGACTGCTCTTTCTCGCTCAGCAAACAAAACACACGGTACTAAAAACAAAGTAAAAGTTCGCTTATTTTCGTGGAATGACGTGCTTTTGCTGTTCACCGGCTACAATCGCCGGTGATATATGTTCAGATGAATAATTGTCGCTTTAATAAATTCTAACGACACATGCTAACGTAAGCGGGTTTTGTAAATCAGATATGGAGGAAAGGATTGTTTTCTCACACCTCTCTCGTTTACACAGCGCTACCTGAAGGGAACAAAGAAAACGAAAAGAATTGAGTAAGGGTCAATGAAATGCATGCCTTGAGGATGGGTAGGACTTCGGAGATATTCCGGAACATGATCTGCGGGTTGTACTTTTTCGGCTTAGGCGGCAGGTAGGGTTTGACGTCCAGGGCGCAGTACTGTCCTCGAAAGTACTCGTGTTCCTGGCCCTGGTCCCGGGCCACGATGTCGACGCACTCGTTGTACGACCCCAAGGCCACGAGCGTCCCTTCTAGCACCCCATCCGGGATCTTGCCAGACGAGTCCAACACTGCGAAGACAGTTGTATTCTCTTTTTATCACTTGCTGTCGTATAGACGATTTCAAGGTTGCAAGCGTTGTACCCCAAAAAAGCTTCCGGTCACCTCATTTACCAGCTGCTAACGTCGAAACTGAAAGCACGTCTTCAAGTTCTTTTGAAGGGTTAGGAAAGTCTCTCTTTCGTTTTTCACACAAAAGGAATGTGCGGGAAGTAGAAGGCAATGTTTTATATTTTAATGTAGCTCAAAAGAACACTTCTTTGAATATATTTTACCAAGTAAGAGAAGGAAACTGTAGAAAATCCGTGGGCTATTTTCTGAAGCTCTTGTTGACCACCGATGATATTAAGACACATCGGTTGACGAAACCAGCTGTCATCAAGAGCCTGTGTTTGTAAACATTGAAATGGTCTATAGGGCACAAACAAAAACTCCAACAAGGTGCTGTGCAGCAAGCAATATTGTGCTATTTTAAACACCGGAGCTCTTCAAGCTCGCAGTAATTCCGATGTTGAATGCAGGAAACTCGGTGGGCATGCGCCACAAAAAGCCTGTATGTGCCAAGCTGTTCCCACCACAACTCAGTCACGCAATTTACAGTTTAGCAGGGGGGTAGGAAAGGGAAGTCAGAGAAAGTGGAGTAATTTGAGAGTTAGGGGGAGTGAAATAAGGGGAGTGGGCAATGTAGAAAGACATAAAGAAAGAACGAAACATCAAAGAATGAACTCAACCTGCGTTGGCCAGACGGTAGCACTTGCTGGCCAGCCCCGCTGTTTGCCACTGTATACTCAAAATTCCTAGCCACAGAACAGGCATTATTGTTCTTTTTTTATTGAATGACTGAAACTCAGCTATTCTGACGTTTGACATTTATAGGCAGTGACAGCGCTATGGAGACGGAGCGTTATGACTGTTTGAACTAGGTGCACTGACACACTGTTGTTGACACATAGCACTACGTTCATAAAATACGCTTGTGCGTGAATGGCCTGAAAAATGCGTCCCCGTGTTGTATGTTCACGTTTACCAGGGCCAGCGCAGTGAGTAGAAGATATGGCCAACGACGAAACTCCGGTTCAACATATATAACCTGCGATTTGGTAACACCTGGCAACCCGATGAGATCTTCGGAGTACCAAACCATGATTGTGAAGTGCAATGTTTCTCTGTATCTGTAAACACTGTAAATATATAGCAGCAACCCTGTCATAAGGAAGTGTGTTGAAAAAAATAAAGTAGCCTGCCCAAGAAGGCGCAACCGATTGCAACCTAAATACCGGCCTGAGATTAGCTTTTCTCATTACTTGGTGTAATGGAAGAACTTTGTCTTTATTTTGATATGAATACTCAATATTTGTTTTCATCTTTATATGGAGCGTACGCGTGTTACGTAATAGTCGCTGTGTTTCTGTGAATGTTTTAGCTTAATGTATGGATCTCTCAGTATAGGAAAAAAAAACGGGAAATAAAGCAGTGTCAGCACACCCAGGCATGTCTGATTCCGGCGTAGTAAGTAATAACTCATCCCACGTAACTGTGAAAATGCAAATATATAACAAGTTGGTGAACCCCTGTAGGGTGGACTGCGGGATTACCGCCGCCGTAGCTCAGTTGGTAGAGCACCAGACGTGTTATTGGAAGGTCGCAGGTTCGGTCCCCACCTACGGCAAGTTATCTTTTCCTCCACATATCCTTCTGCGGTTATATTACAATTTTTACTATTGGCATCGCCTATACTTTCTTAGCATCATTTTGGGTTAGTTATCATTACATAAGAAGAGATGCACTGAATAATGGGGTAATTTCTGGTGAATAGCCTCGATAACAGGAGGTGTGTCCCAATTATCAGACAGCACGTAGACAGTCTACTCAGACTGCTTAGAAGACAGCACCAAGCCCATGTTGTCCGAGACTGGGAATACGTCTGGACGGCTTTTACACGACGATGCGCCACCTCGCGTCGAGAAGAGAAAGCCAAAATAAACAATTGTAACAGTTGTATTTTCTGACCTATTTCGAATTGAAATCTAAGAAAAGTAAACGTTACTCACATTTAGCGTCTGGACAAGCATCTGCTTGTGTGCAGACGACCATTCCGGCGAGATTCGATATATCCGAGTGATTCGCTGAGCCGCCATCTCGTTTGGACAGCAAACTAGCCTGCATCGTATTTTTCTACGGTGCGGTCTTCTTGAAGCTGTCTATTTTGCCGGCTTCATGACAATTCGAATCAGACTTAAGATGGCCGCTGTCCATTTCGCTGTCTATTTAGCCATCTACAGTGAGTATTGGAACACACACATGAAAATATCTAGCCAACTTCGAAAAGCACCAAATTTTTATACACCCCTTTTCACCCCCACCCCCACACACAACGTCACTATGCATCAGTCTCGTACAGTATACCGCATCACAATGAGTCGACAGCAGTTCAGGGGAAGTCTACTGTTCTTAAAAATTTTAATTACTCCTGCGTCGCTATAATTTTTCATTACTTTTGAGGATGATATTCGAAGATAGTTGGTAGCGACACTTGTTTGTGCTTAAGGTCAGCTAGAGCGATGACGAATAATCGTCTCTGCGCAGCACTGCGAGGAAAGTCGTAGATGTGGTGCAAAATCTCTTGGTTACAAAGACGTCACGACGTCTTTGTTACATATGCGGCGTTTCACGACGTCACAGACATCACTAAGAGTGCTATCGGTCATTCCTAAACAAAAATGAAGATTATTTGTGAAACCGACTCTCCATGATAATCTGCAAAGCAGAATGGCCTATATCCGGCGGAGTCCAGTTGGCGGAGTCCAGCTTCGGCAACTTGCTGTATTCCATGTGGAGTTCTTAATGTCTTCATCGAAATTGTGGCAGTGGAATCAGACCTTGAAAACGGTATAGCGTCTTCCTTGTCGCGTTGCACTGCTCACCGAAAATCATTATCGGCATGTTCGTTGCCAGCCCGCCGCAGTGACTTGGCAGACCACTGGAATGTCACGCACTGTCGTTTCTCATGTGGCATATGAATGAGGTGTCTGGTATTGAATACCACTTGTTTGTAGGGTCCGTGTCGCAGAGCTGATAACAATGGTTGCAGGGCTGCCTTGGAGTCACCTAATATCGACCATGGTTGCGGCCGTTCACGACCGACAACACAAAGTGCTGCGCAAAAAGCTGCATTCTTAAAAAAAATGCCTCATACTTTTTTCAGTTTCTCACTTTCACATCCGAGCCATTCACAAGGGTCATGCCGAATAAATGGCGAAAAAAAAAATGCCCAGTTCAAAATCTGGGCACCTTCTGGCCTTGCGTGCTGCGATTGAGAAGTATTGCGACACCACCAGTGCTTTCTAACACTCGCAAGCTCAATTGTTCGCACAAAGTGGAAGTGTAAGCGACGTTTCCGAACAGTGAAAACGTCCAAGCGAGCAATGTATTAGCATCGTGAACTTATGACTTTTCTGTCATCAATGTGTTTTTCATTATGGCTATTGGCGACAGTGTCCTGTGTTTCAAGAAACGCATTGTAAACACACTTTAACATCCTTGACACAATTATTCCGAGCAGGAAAAAGCAACTCAAAATAAGTATGCAGAAAATAGGACCAACATGCCAACCACCTGTGTTTAACGAACCCTCAACTCTCTCAAGCTGCAATAAACTGCTACCATCTTTAAGGAAGTGCTCCAAGCGCGTCGTTTATAGGAGTTTTCTAGATCCCGCCTACTTCCGAGCTTCCTGGGATGCTCCATCTTCTGCCTGGCATTTCAGGAGTACACGCACCTGCCTACCGGTGTAAAAGTACACGCGTCCACCTCGTTACACCTCACACCCATCCCATCTGAATTCCCCCCTCCCCTCCCCAGCTCCAAAAAACGCACCTTTGACATCACGAGTCTCGGCGTGTTGTCATATGCGCTTCATATAACGAAAAGATGATCAATGATCTTAATGACACTTTTTCATGAGTGCGTTTCTCAGTGATCAACAGGCTTCGATTATGGTGTGTCTCGCATAGTGATTAGCTGAAGCATGTTCCTGTGAAAATGGTTGTTGGTGCAGGACGCTTTTGGGAACATGTGGACCTGCGTTCTTCAAATTCTTTTACTCATAATAATCATGGCAAAATAAATTTTGTAACTCGATCTTCCTTATGTTTCAATGTGATGCAGCGAAGGCAATAGACAACAATGCTGGGTAGACTTGGCAGAATGCTCCAAGAACGTCCGTGCTTCGAGATATCTGGTTGCAAAGATCAGTTGCGATTGATATATGCAAGTAAGATAGCGAGGATTGATGCAGAGCTCCTCGCTAATATGCCATGACATGTTGGTGCGGCGTTTATTCTGGTAACGGGTGGAAGATATACAGGCAAAATTGATAGCGGATGTAGTTTTACTAGCGGCTGTGGATATCAAGCCATGACCGCGTATTGCATCAGGAAGGCATTTTGAGTCGATCACCGATATTTATTCTCGCATACGTGATACTGCGACTGGCTGGTAAACTGCGACCAGATATCCATGAGCACGTGTGGGCTAGACGAATTCTTAAATGTGGCACTGAGTATGAATATGACTTGACTCATTACGAGAAAAATGTGCCAACATATCACAAAAGTACTACAAAATATATCGCAACTGTTCATTACAAACATATGCAGTCACTAATTAGTTATTTACAGAAACCTAGTTCATCGCGTGGCTGAAGACAATAATTACCATCTCACTTTGAGTCTCCTCGGCCGCAAAACTTACTTGCAGGGGCTCTCAGTACGTAAATTTCACGATGCCTGACTTTAAGGAAGTAATAAGACCTGAATTTAATGACGCAGGATAACGGACGGGTGTACGATCAAATACTCTGGGTCCGTCTGTAACTTCATGAGTGGTGCTTGCAATCAATAGCTAGTTGTGTCATTTTATTCCGTCTCAACATATCCTTGTCAATGATGTAGCGAGGGCAGGTTAGTAGTGTGACGTTCAGGTCGATGACACAACTGAGCAGACGTAAGTG